TTGTCAGGAAAAAAACATAGGTCTTAGAGTCAGGGCCGGATTTTAGGCTGTGCAAGCTGGGCTACCGCACAGGGCCCCCAATTTTAGAGGGGCCCCAAATTTTAGAGGTTCAATATTTAATTTTTACACAGTTAGTTTCGAAATAAAAATTAAAAGTTTTCAATTGAATATAAAAGGTTTTATGAAGAGGTGGTGAGAATATGTATTTATTGTATTTTAACTTGTAGGTCAAAGGTTCGAAACTTACATGTATTGGCTTTCAAAATTGTAATTTTGTAGGGCCACATTTATTTACTAGAACAGGGCCACAAAAACTTAAAATACGCCCTACTTAGAGTTAGAGGTTGAGACCATACACAACCAAGCTAACTAGGTTGTAGTGAATCTAAAGAATGATGTCCAAGACCTTTTTTATAGTGTCGAGACCCTCCTTCTTTGCTGCCAAGTGTTTGATCCTTATTTATTCTTCATCTCCTCCATCTACATGTCTTATGCTTCATGTCCCTAACACGACCATTCCTCCACTACCTCACCCCATCCTTCCTTACCCCCTTGTTCACCGTTCTCCTACCCCTTTTGACACCCCTTTCTCGACTCCCGTTTCCCCTGCCACAACTCGGAGAAGTTCGATGGATCCCTTCACCGCCTAGACGTCGGTCGGCGGGGGCGATCTTGACCCTCTCCTTGTCATTACGCAAATTATGCTGTGCAACCGAATGCACCTTGCAAGATGCATACGGTTGCAAAATGGCACCGTTTTGGTTAAAAAAAACGCGCGTCCCACTTAAAGAAGAAATCAGGTTCGATTCCCGGCAATAGCATTTTTATATATCCAGAAATTCATAACTATATAACCACAATTTCATAACTATATATCCACAATTTCATAACTATATATCCACAGTGAATTAATGAAGTAAAAATCCACAATGAATGAATGAATGAAGTAAAAATCCACAATGAATGAACTAAATATCCACAATATATGATTGAACTAAATATTCACAATGAATGAACTAAATATCCATAAATTCATAAATCATAACTATATAACCACAATTTCATAACTATATATCCACAGTGAATGAATGAAGTAAAAATCCACAATGAATGAATGAATGAAGTAAAAGTCCACAATGAATGAACTAAATATTCACAATATATGATTGAACTAAATATCCACAATGAATGAACTAAATATCCATAAATTCATAACTATATAACCACAATTTCATAACTATATATCCACAATTTCATAACTATATATCCACAATAATACTATTGCTGAGAGTCGAACCTAATTTTTTTTTTTTAAAGTAAGACGCGCGTTTTTAATCAAAACGACGTCGTTTTGAACCGTATGCACCATGCGCATGGTACATTCGGTTACACAGCATAACTATTGTTGTCACTAATTGTGGCCCCCTTGGGCCGCCATGCTCACCCATCTAGCCTAAACACCTAATCCTTCACCGCTCATGGGCTTCCCCCTTCTTCCAAACCCAATGCATTTTCACCCCTCTTCTTGAGCTTCTCTACCTTTCATCCCATCATTATTACATGGACCATGGTTCACACAGCTGTATGAACCATAAATAAAAATTACATTTTAAATATATTAAAAGTACATTATTTGACTTGAAAATATATTATTTTATATACTATCAAATAATATGCATTCAGTATATAAATAATATATTTTTAATATATTAAAAATGTACCTTATATTTATGGTCCATACAAAAATTTGCCCCTTTCATCCTTCAAGCCCACAAACACCCACTCCTTTATTTTTCTTGGGCAAGACTTTGCTAATCCAATGGGCCATGCCCCCATGGCCACATCACATGATTATGAGTAACATTTAATTTTTATTTCATCTACTACAATTTGGAAATTCGTTGTCTAAAAGAGAGATATTTAAATTAATTATAAAAAATATTTTATAAAAAACATATTCCGATCCATTAATTCAAGATATTAAAATATTCTTTCAAAAGGCTGAACCTCAACCTTAAAGGCCCCCACACTCCGACCCGACAAAGCATTTGGGAGGATGTAAATCATGGTAACTCAACTAAACATGAACCACTGAGGCTAGGGTTGGGGTTCAGCCTTTTGGAAGAAGATATTAAAATATTGATAAACAAAAATAATTCAAACTTTTTAATTCAATTTATATTTCATAATTCTTTAACTTTTAATTATCATATTTAAAAAATATAGGGAGAGAGAAAAAAAAAAAAGAATTTATATTTTTCGTTTAATAATATTGTAAAAAAAAATATTTAATTTATATTTACAAAAATAAAAATTTTAAAAAATATTTATAACACTAAGCTAACACCCACATATATTAATATTTACACATATAATATATGCATTATATACATACATATAATTTGACATTCATACATATTTAATTTAAATATAATCTATATTTAAATTAATTGTTATATGATGATTTTAATAAAATGATAATTAAAAAATAAGAGAAAGTTATGGTATATCATAGATGCAGGTGTATCATAATATTGATGAAATCATCAACGCTAGAATTTATTAAATAATCATTGCGTTATAAAATAGATACTACTTTGTAAAGAATCATGAGTATTTAAAAAAAATAAATAAATAATCGAGTTATAATGATATATAACATGTATATATGTCCTGTGTTACGATTTTTCGTGTCTTGTGTTATGAAATTTTGTACCTTACGAGTACATCGTCGTTTCAGTCCAAGATCCATAATGTTATGTGAATCCTAGTCCATGATATAAATTGCCCAATGAAAGTCCGACGTTGATCCATGGTATAACAATTGTAATTTGTCCATCTCCCACCTTTAAATTGGCAAATTATATTGTGGACTAGGGCACTGTGGACTCTGGTCAAATACACAGAATTTGACTTCATAGTGCACAGAATTCATATTCATAATGCACATAATTCATGTTCATAATACACATACATTTTGTGCAATATGAACATGAATTATGTGCATTATAAACAAGAATTCTGTGTATTATGTTAAGTGTTTATGTGTCCTTAGCTATATAATACACAGAATTTATGTTCATTGTATCGTGTTTATGTGTATGTGTATTATAAACATGAATTCTATACATTATGAATATAAATTCTGTGCATTATGAACATAAATTTTATGTATTGGACCAGAGTCCACATTGCAGTGTGGACCCTGGTCCACGATATAATGATTGCTTTAAATTAGATAAACGAATTTCTTGTCTTTGTTGTAGCCCAAATTTATTTTGGCATGAAGAAAGAAGCCCAATAATGCTGCCTATTTGTTTGCAAATTATGCGGTGGAAACGTGTTCACCATGCTTGCTGAACATAGTCCCAAACGGTATCGTTTTTACGAAAAAATAAAATAAAATTAGTTAATGTGTTGTTAACGGCGTTTTGCATTCTATGTTCAGATTATGAATTTAAATTTATTAAATTATGAATTTTCTATTATGAGATTATGAATTTACAGTTATGTAATTATGAATTTTTTGTACATTCATAATCTCATAACAGAAAATTCATAATCTCGTAAAAGAAAATTCATAATTTCATAACTGCACATTCATAAACTCATTCCTGCACATTCATAATTTATGAGTGTTGAAGAAACTTGCGCGAAGAGGAAGCAAAACCGCAAAATGTGAATATGAAAAAGAAAAGTCGCGTTATTAATTTTTTTTTTTTTTAAAAAAATTGGTGGAAGATAACGGTGCCCGTAGACACCGTTACCGTTTGGGACCGTGTTCACCATCCGAACACCATTACCGTTTGGGACCTTATTCACGATGAATGGTGAACACGGTTCCATGACATAACGATTGCTATTTGTTAGGCCCTTCATTTCAAGATCTGACATTGTATGAATCATCAGATACAATTGTTCTCATGGGCTCCATGGACTTTCAACATGGCATCACTCCCAAGTCCAATAGGGGATTGTTCTTGGTTTTTTGAATAGTAAAAAAATCTAGAAAAAGAGATTTTTAACTAATGTGGATGTCAAATTTTTGGGTGTTGCATCCTCCGGCAAATTGAAGATTTTGTCAATTATTTATTTTTTATTTTTTAAAAATAACGTCAGTGAGACGCAAGCCAACCAGCAAGTACGCCAGCTAGCTGGCGGCCACTCTGAATCAGTCTTTGTTCATTTTAATTTTTTTTAAATTTCAAAACACTGGCTGTTGAATGCCAGTTCGTCTTCTTGTTTTGTTTTTTTTTTTTTTTAATTTTATTTAACATACTTTGATAAATGTATTATTTTTTTATTTTTATTTGTTAAATTTATAATTATCAATTAAATTAAATTGTTATAATTATCAAAAATAATATTATTAAATTTATAATTATCGATAATATTGGATCAATTTTATAAATATAATTACAATTATAATTTCTAGAATTCAAATAAATAAATAAAATATAGGATAGTAAACTGATGGTCTATAAAAAATTGAGAAAAAACGTAATTGAGAAAAACCTCAAACTAATGTGAAGATCAATTTTTGTGATTGAGTGAGATAGTTGATAATGAGGTGGATGTTGGGGCTTATAAAAAATTGAGGAAAAAAACCCCAACTATTGAGGATGCCATAATCTTCTTTAGAGTTAATCGCCAATTTGATTTCTCAATTGCACAACTGTCAATATAGACCTTAATTTCAACTTTTAACCAATTTGATACTCGAATTATTTAAAATTTTGTTAATTGAACACTTTCATCAACCAAAATGATAAAAACTACACCTACACTAAGACTCAAAACTTAAACCTCCCACATAGGGGAAGCCAGCCGAAGGACGGTACAAGGTCAACGTAGACGGCTGTTGCAAAGCCAATGGAGCCACGGGGTGCGGTGGCTTGATCCGGGATGAGCACGGGAACTGGGTGCGGGGTTACACTTTCAACATTGGACGCTGTAGCGCAAGAGAGGCTGAAGCCTGGGGGATCCTTCAGGGTATGCGTATGGCGAAAGATTTGGGAATCGCCAAGCTTATAGTAGAAAATGATTCGAAAGCCCTTATTGACGACATCCGTGCGACTCAAAGAGATCATGGTTTCTCCACAAACACCCTGTGGAGATGTCTGTGCGAAGCAAGCTATTTTCAGGAAATAGAGTTTGCACATATCTACAGAGAAGGAAATGTAGTGGCAGACAAGCTAGCCTCGACGGCTCTCAATTTCCAGGCTGGCTATCGAGACCTCCAGGATGCACCGATAGACCTTTTTGAAGACCTCAAGCTTGACCAGCTGGGAGCGGTGGCCTTCAGGCATAGTTGAATCTCGAGGGTTATCCCCCTCTCCTTTTAACCAAAAAAAAAAAATCAACCAAAATGATGATTTTCACATTTTTAAAATTTCATTAATTTGGTCACTGAAAGAATTTAATTTACAAAATTTTAAATAACTTGAGGATATAATTGATTGAAATTGAAAATTATATTTTATATTAATAGTTAAGAAATAATTGTGAGACTAAAATGGTGATTTTCCCTCTTCTTTAAGAAGGGAATCATAAAGGGGGAAAAGAAGAAAAGAAAAGAAAAAGAAATGGTCGGACTGGCCTTTAGCGTAGAAAACGAGAAATGAATAAGGTCCAATTTGTCTCAGCGTAGCCGATGGACAGACATCAAGGACGATGCTCACACGCTTATTGACAAATTCAAACCGCTGAATTTGAATAACACAGTGAATTTCAGAAACTCTTTCCCTCAAATCCGCCATGTTCGCCAAGCGCCTCTTCCAGAAGGCTACTCATCACCTTTCGCAGGTACTCATCACTTACTGCGATTAATTCATTTCGCATACATCAGTGTTGACTTCAGCTCCCGATGATTCTCTGTAATGCTTTGACCTTCTTTTACTGGCAATGGCGATCACGATGGTGAAAATCAATGGATTCATTTTCAGCTAAAACATGAAAATTCATTGTAAAACGATTGATCCGCTAACAAAAAATTTTCTTCTAGTTTAGCAATTTCCTTCGTTTAATCTCTACAGCGAAGTGTTAGTCTGTAATTGAGTTGCAACGGTTGAGTGAACTCTGCTGATCGTTGCCACTTAGGTGCTGATGAATTTCTAAAAGAATGCCGAATTTGTTAGTTAATGTCACATAAGTTACTTCAGGATTCTGTTGTAATGTGATAGGGAGTATTAATATTCTGTCAGATGTGCACTTATCTTTACATAATTTTATGTGTGCGGCATGAAATTTGGTAGAAGCTTAAAATAATTGAAATGGAAGTGCAAGTCACTTGCTAGAATGTTATGGAAGTAGCTATTTTATTTAATCAAATTTGATGTATTCCCTTATCAGCTTGAGGCCTTATTATGTAGCTAATAGGTAAATTGGATTAGCATTAGCTGAGTTTTTTTTTTTTTTTTTTTTTTTTTCATGATCATTGCCTCTGTAATTCAATTCTTCAAGTGAAAATGTTTTATGGTTTGTTCTGTAATTCTTTTGTTTCAGCATAATGCAGACAGTTGCCTAGTATCCAGTGAGTTGGACCTACAAATTAGTGTACACTATGGTATTCCTTCAACTGCATCAATCCTAGCTTTTGATCCCATTCAGCGCCTATTGGCCATAGGAACTCTGTAAGTCAAAGCTGTGCTCATGATCTTGTCATAAGTGTGTGAGTCAAGCTGCTGTAAAGTGATTCAAATAGAGTACTCTTTTTTATTTTCAAATTACCATCATGCATGGCCATATGCTGAAAAATTGGCTTTCTTACATAGAAATAATGGTTTGGTTGATATGAGTTTGATATCATGTTGGAGACAACTTATATAATACATGGAATCGAGGCTATCATTGCCTTATGTTGTTGGTACAACTTTGGAACTGTTAGTAGACTTGAAGTTTGGCTTCGAGACATTTTACACTACATCTTTTGAATTTTTTACAGGGATGGTAGAATTAAAGTGATTGGAGGAAATAATATTGAAGCACTTTTGGTTTCCCCACAGCAATTGCCTTACAAATACTTGGAGGTTTTCGTCACAATTAAATTATTATCAGCTTCATATATTACTAATTTACTGCTGAAGTTTTTCTTTGTTGCTATTCCTCTTCACTTTTATTTATTTTGTGCAAAATGCCAAAATTCATAGTTTTATTGGGGCACCATTGTTTTCTCTTTTTATAAAATAATGTTCAAAACCAGTTGAAATAGTCTTTGGGTTATATTTTGTCAATTTTCTTAATAGAAGAAATAAAATGCTTACAGTGTTGTAGTCTTGGGATTCACTGTAGAAAATTGGGTTGATGAATACATGTCTATTCACCGTCTGTTCTTTACTGGAGATCTGCCATGCTCTGAGATGGTGGCATTATAATTAAACAGATACATAGAGGTTACTTAGGAACACATTACACATCCACTTCTTTTCTAGCTATAAGGGCTTTAAAGAAAAAAATTGCTTATAGATTGAGGAGTTATGAGAGATTTGGAGCTACTCCCCATTCTCTTGCAATCAGTGGCAGGATGCTTGACTTTTACTGTTACTTTGAATGACAATTTGAGGAATCTGTTTAGTGCTACACTGCTACTTAAACATAATTGTCTTGGTCTAGCTAATTAGCACATGAAGTGGTTCAAGAGTGTGAATAATATTTTAAAGTTGTTACCTATAGAAATCTACATTGCTATACTTTTAATCAGTTTATTGTTATTTTCCATCAATTTCTGGCAGTTTCTTCAGAACCAGGGTTTTTTGGTCAGCATCACAAATGAAAATGATATTCAGGTACTAAATCTTTGCTAGTGAATGGTAGCTGACACCCTCCTCCCTGCCTGTAAAAATAAAGAAAAGTGAACGAAACTTAATTGTTGTTTTCAAAATGTTTGTATGGTAGTGTGCTTAGACTGGTTACTAAATCTCATACTGTTTAAACTTTTTTCCTACTATTTTAAGACTAATTGTATACAATGTATCTTTTCCTTTATTTTTTTTGTAGGTTTGGAATCTTAGAAACAGGTCCCTTGCTTGTAGTTTGGTGTGGGATTCCAATATTACTGCTTTCTCCATCATCAGTGGCTCCCATTTCATGTATGACACTGTTGTAGATGCATAGCATTTGGTACCTCATAAGGCTCATATATCACATTTAGGAGAACTTGTGCATATTCTGTTTAACATTAGACCATTTATGTGATTTAGGTATGTTGGAGATGAATATGGATCTGTATCAGTTTTGAAGTTCTCCATTGATGATGGACAGCTTCTCCGGTTGCCATATCATATATCCTTAGCTTCTCTTGCTGGTAAGTGGTGAATGGGGAATTATCATTATTGCACTGACTATATTAGTATTGATGATTGCTTGATACTGGTCCCCTTGTTTTGTTGTAAAAATAAGATAATTTGGTTAGGAAATTTCCAATCTCATTCATCCATCATTTAAATGCTTTTCATATCTTTCAATTGTCAACTTATGGATGTCATTGTGCAGAAGGAGCTGAGCTCTCATTACCTAATAATCAACCCATAGTTGGAGTTCTTCCACAACCCTTTTCTTCTGGGAACAGGTAAGAAACTGTATAAAGTTTTTTTTTTTTGTTTTTTGTTTTTTGTTTTTTTTTTTTTGTTTTTTTTTTTGTTTATTTCTGTTGAGCTTGTTATTGATATTTGTTGTATTATTACTATTGTAGCTATTGTTAATATTTTTTGGGAAAACATCAATTTTGGCCCCTTGGTTATTTATTATTGTGTAATAGTCAAATTTATAGTGGTGAACAAATGTAGTCCTTGCTTTTGACATATTGTTCCTAAATTAGTCCCTCAACTAACAAAACTGTTAATTTTCTAAACAAATAATTATTAAACCGTAAGTTATAGTGGTCCGGCCTCATTGCATACATCCACTACTTAAAGGATTATGCAATCCACTAATCTTCTAGGCCGCTTCAATGTGGGGGAGCATAAAAACCAACTTCAACAAACACACCCTTGTTAATAGGATACACCAATTATTTTCTGAAAAAATTGCAAATGAATGGCTGTAAGAGGTACGATGCTAAGCTTTCTAGGATGCAAGAAGATGGCCAAAAAGAGGCACATGTCCATATCAAAATAAAAACTTCCCATATATTAGACTTAAAATTTAAAGTTATATTTATTCCATTTAAACCAAATATATCCAACAAATTTTTAAATATAAGGTCTAAACAAAGAATGGAAACTGAAAAATTAGAAAACAGAAAACAGGAAAAAGTGTTCTGAAAAAATATTGTTTCCCATATACTTATTGTCCATTAGGACCATTACATACGCAACACCTCCAAGCATCTATCTGGGTCTTCCCCTTCTTAATGGAGCTGGTCCATTGAGCCACCAAGGCCCAAGCTTCTTGTCCCCTCCAAAGGACTTGATCTTGGGAACCTAAGTATTTTAGGGCCAACATAAGGAGTATGAAGATTTAATGCTCTTCTATATTTTTGGAGGAAGAAAAGTGTTAATGCTTTATCAAGTTGTTGAAATTACTACTCCAAATGATGATTCTATATGAGTGAGATGAAGGGAATCAGATCTTGAAGAGGTATGACCAGATCGTTAAATGTGGTAGTTTGGTCCTACAACACATTTTAAATTATAAATTATAAAGAATCACTCAATGGAAATGGTCAATGGAAGTACTTGTGTCTATTACACGGTATACACCCTTGATTGTTAGAACAAATTTGAAAGTATTACTATTGTGGTTCAAAATACACCTAATGAAAAAGATGACATGGATTCACTTGTGTCCATCACACCATTTCCATTGGGATGCATAGAATTTCTAGGAAAAAAGCCTCAGATCAAATACAATGACATCCATTGTAACTATGAACTTTTCTAAAAAGGTGCAAAATAGATGCACTCTTATTCATGATCAATCCCCTATTGAAGAAGGAAGGTTTAGTTAGCTTCATGAAAATGAGAACCATGGAAGCAGGTACTTCCGTTAGCCTCGTCCGTGAGTTCAAAATCTGAACAATATTTGATCTTTTTGAAAAATGCTTCACTAAATTCATTTTGAAACATAGATTCTAGAATCATTGTGATACATATTAAGCTTATTCAAGGTTGATCTATTATTCAATCTTCACATTAAGATTATATCTTATTAAATCTTCAACCTTGAGTCTTCACACCCACATCAATGTCTTGGCACCAAAAGAGCCTTGAAGTGGATTGATATCACCTTCACACTTAATCACATTACATTATTTGTTAACATCAAAACCAAAACCATTTAGTCACCTAGTTCCCCTACGAATTCCTTGATATTTGCA